CCAGCCTGGCGATTTTAGTTTTGTGAAGTTGATGGTCTGGCTCCAGTATTCGGTCCACTGTACACGGTAATTCACAAAGGTACCTCAGAGGAAATTGTTGCCGACAAAACGAAGTTCTTGAACCTTCACTGCAAAATCCACTGTGCGCTTGCATCGGCTTGCAAGCATGCCCCAGGTTGGAGCGTCCTTGGAAGCACTCTCCAGGACGAAACGTGCTTTGTGGTGTCCCAACGTGGAGCATGCCGTGTGCACTCTCGACTTTCGTGAGTACTCAGGGAGTTCCTTCGGCGAGCACTCGCTCACTCTGCCCGCATGCGGCCAATTTCACGCAAGTCGTGCCGTAATTGGGCCATTTTTATTCCTGCAGGCCTTCGACAAGGCGGGCGGGCCAGGCGGGCCGGGCGGCAGGGCGCGCAGGCCGCGCAACTGTAAATGGCGGCCATTACAAGTCGGAACGAGGCTTTGCGCGTCCTGGAAAGGCTGGAGTGCGTGGAGGCTGGGACGACTAAATGAAGCGGCAGTGGAGGCGGCAAGCAAATACTTCGCCGCGCACCGTCAAGCCAAATGTGGAAAACTAGAACTCCACGCTTCCTGGTGTGGGGAACCTCACGGGGCCCTCATCTCCCCGCATGGTGCAAACGTGGACAACTCCACATTTCAAGTGTGTGGGCTGCAAACTCCGCACTTTCAAGTTGCTTTCACACACACGCACACACACACACTCACACACACACTCTCTCTCACACACACACACACACCATCACAGCCAATTTATCTATTTCATTTCGTAGCAGACTTCATCCCTCGGCCGGTTGGTTCCAGCACGTGCCACCAAGTTGGTGCGACACGAGGAGGGAGCGCTCTCTCGCGAGAAGAGAGACAGACAGTCAGAGACAGGCTGAACAGTCATGAGGAGGTTGGAATGGAAGGTTAGGAGTAGTGCTAGGCTTCTTGCGTCGTCAGCCCGTGCACTGGATGCCTGCGGGTCAGGCATAAAATTCCGCTTCAAGACGTGGTCGCTTTGAAAGGAAGGATAGACTACCAATGCCCGCACCGGCATGATAGTGGGAATCTGGATGTAACTTAAGTACAAAAGGTGCGTAAAGATTTGGCGAGTTGTAATTTGACCTCCCTTTTCTAACGCTACAGTAGACTCGGGAAGGCCCTGAATTGACCTGAGGTTTTGAGTGAGTCCCCCACCCAACCTCAGATGAAAAACCTTTCAAAAATCTGAACCTGAAATGGGTGGCGGTTCACCTCGGCGCTGGCGACCACGGCCGAGGGGGTAACCACTCGCGTAATACCCTGTACACAAAAACCGTGTATTACGCGTAATACACGTGATCGTAATACCATTTTTGGGTCAAATGTGCCAAATTTGGGCATTTTAGGGCCGTAATACACGTGTAATACACCCGTAATACAGCGTAATACCGAGTAGTCTGTACACGATTTCTTGAAGTGTTTACCCCCTCGACCACGGCAGCCTCCAGGGCAGGCTGCTTTCAGCAAAGCAGCCAGCCGGTCCCATACCAGGAAGCCCACGACGATTACGTCCCAAGTTTCTGACCAGAGCGGCGAGGCCACCGCCGCAGCTCGCAGAGTTTTTCAAAGGAGAGGTCAAACTGGTTAGGGCGTTTTTGTATAACCGTGCCGGCTCGGCCTCGCCGCCCCAAGACGGCCTCACCCAGGGCCTCACCCAGGGCCAAGCCCACGACCCTGCGCCTGACAGTTGAGATCCAAAGGCCGCGGCAGGCGTTGTTACTTGATTACAAAGACTTCAAAGATGTCTTCGTTTTCTTTCTGATCGCGAAAAAGAAAATACAAGGTAAATCACGCTCTCCACTTTTAGCGGCGCCCTCACTCTAAAAAAAATTGTGGTAGAAATCCTATAAAAGTATCGGACGCATTTAACCTATTCGGTATAGGAATTTTCCCACATAGGACATGGTAATTTTACCATCTGCCGATATGGCAAAAATCCTATACGTGTTGTTCGGTTTCTACTGTATTAGGTGTGGGAAAACTACTATACCGTGTATGGTAAAAGTCCCATACGAGTTGTGGGATATTTTCGTTACGTGATGTGGTGATAATCCTATACCCTCATAGGAAGGCTTACTTTGAGCGGGACGCCCGGGACGGAACCGCGGACGCAAAAGTTTCACTGGGGGATGATCGGTCTCCTCCATTCACACCTCAGAAATTAGATTGGTCGAGCGCAAAAATTGGAAGTGTATAAACTTAACAAGTATGAATTTTCAAATGCACAGCTTTGAACGGAATGCGGCCTGCGTGTAAAATGGACAAATTCGTGCGCCACCAAATGTGCGTAGGCGCGCGCGCACGCACACACACACACACACGCGCGCGCGCGCCACACACACACACACACACACAAGGTGGCTTCTAGTAGCTCCGCACTCCGCAGCCTCGGCTAGGAATCCTGCGAGCGCATTCCTGGGAGCGCAACAGGCGAGGCACGCCGCCGCCAGCCGTCGGGTCCCTGCCGAGCGGTCCCGCACATCACTTGTGTCGCTCTGGCCCTCTCGCACGCACGGGGTGCTCCGAAGACGTGAGAGAGAGAGAGAGAGAGAGAGAGAGAGAGAGAGAGAGAGAGAGAGAGAGAGAGAGAGAGAGAGAGAGAGAGAGAGAGAGAGAGAGAGAGAGAGAGAGAGAGAGAGAGAGAGAGACGAATCAGTGTGCTGCCCGTCGGTGGGGTCGGTCCAGTCGGGCGGGCGGACGCCGCTAATGGGGCCTCCTCGCAACATGCCAACTCAACAACAGTGGCGCGACGAATATAGAACAGCGTCGTCGGGAAATTATCGGAAAAGCGATAGTAACTCCCAATCAGTCTTTCCGGGAAATCAGGGGAAATCAAAGAAGCGGTCCCGAATAAAATTGGCGATCTGACGCCACTCGCGCCGACGGCTTGGCTCGGGACGGCTCGGCTCGGCTCGGGTCGGCTCGGCTCGGCTCGGCTCGTGCATATTCCACCGTCGCAAAAAGGAGATGAGCTTCGTTTCGTTTCATCGCAGACGCCGCCGGAACGAGGTCGCCCGTTAATTTATGGCTAGCGTGGCGCAAACAATTCAAGTGCGAAAACCAACTTTCGAAATTATTAGCGACCGTTTCAGAGATTATTCGCGGGGGCGGTGGAGAGGCGGAGCGAAATTCAAATCCCGGGAGCGGGGGGGAGGGGGGGGCAAGGTGAAGCGATACTGGCGCCGCGCCGAGCCGCGACGCCTGGCAGGTAGGTCAGGTTTCACTTAGCGACAATCGCCTTCGGGATTAACTTTACTGGACGGCGGGAATTGCTGATGAAGCTCGTGACGTCATCGCATGTCTCTCGCCAGGAGTGTCGGGCAGTGGCGGATCCAGGGCCAGCCTTTGCGGGGGGCAAAGCGCCACTTTGCCTGCACTGTGAAACTGAAGTGTGCAGAACTCCACACTTGACTTGACATGCGGAGGTGTAGAATTTGCAGTCTCCGCACTTGGACGTTCAGAGCTCGCAGTACTTTCTAAGTGTGGAGTTCTCTAACACTTGCACCCCGCCAGACGAGTGGGCTCCTCCGCACTTGAAGTTTTAAGACTGCAAACTCCACACGCGGAGAACTACCCCACACCAGAAAGCGTGGAGTTCTCTACACTTTGACCAGTGCGCTAACATGATCAAGGCACGTCTCTTTGCCTACCATTCTGGCGGCTGTCTAGCCCCCACCAAACCGCGCCGGTGTCGCGGCGAGGGTCATGCAAATTGCTGGGGGACGGCACGACGGACGGTAGGGTAATTCTTTCCCAAGTCACCCGAGGTCCCGAAATCGATGTCTCCGATTTCGACGAAACTTTGTGGGTGTGTTCCCTATGTAGCAAAGAGCTCCAGAAAAAATTTTCAACTTTTTTGGTCGGCCCAAAAAATTTTAATCACGTATTTTGTAAAAAACACTGAAACCTGCACTAAAAATTTGTTTGTTGCCTGAGGGCGACCTGCCCGGTGGATTTTTCTTCTTTTCATGGTACTGAAAAAAAAAGTTTCCGAGAGCCACTTTAAAAGTCACTTGTTCCAGGAGATATGGACCAAAAAATTCGTTTTTCGCGAATACCCAAAAAATGCATCCGAATTTTTTGATGATAATTTTTTTTTAGGAAGGTCCTGTGGTGGTCTATCACCCTTATTGGTTTTTGGGTTTGGCCAATGGAAAACCGAATAAAAATCGCGTTTTTTCCGTTTTTTTCGCAGTTTTTGGCCCATAGTATCGCCATTTTAAGTCTGACTTAATGAGCGCCATTAGACTTTTTTTTCGCCTTTTCAAGACGAATCGATTGATATAAGTTGAAGTCAAATCGGAGTATTTTGAAAAATCGCCCTTTTTACGATCGGGATCCAACTAATCTGGATGCGTAAAAAATGCGATTTTTCAAAATACTCCGATTTGACTTCAACTTATATCAATCGATTCGTCTTGAAAAGGCGAAAAAAAAGTCTAATGGCGCTCATTAAGTCAGACTTAAAATGGCGATACTATGGGCCAAAAACTGCGAAAAAAACGGAAAAAACGCGATTTTTATTCGGTTTTCCATGGGCCAAACCCAAAACCAATAAGGGTGATAGACCACCACAGGACCTTCCTAAAACAAAATTATCATCAAAAAATTCGGATGCATTTTTTGGGTATTCGCGAAAAACGAATTTTTTTGGTCCATATCTCCTGGAACAAGTGACTTTTAAAGTGGCTCTCGGGGACTTTTTTTTTCAGTACCATGAAAAGAAGAAAAATCCACCGGGCAGGTCGCCCTCAGGCAACAAACAAATTTTTAGTGCAGGTTTCAGTGTTTTTTACAAAATACGTGATTAAAATTTTTTGGGCCGACCAAAAAAGTTGAAATTTTTTTCTGGAGCTCTTTGCTACATAGGGAACACACCCACAAAGTTTCGTCGAAATCGGAGACATCGATTTCGGGACCTCGGGTGACTTGGGAAAGAATTACCCGGTACTCACCTGAACCCGAGTTGAGGTTGGCATGGCAGCAGGACAGCAGCAGCAGCAGCGACAGCGCCTGCAGCAGCCGCCTCATCTTCATTTGGCCGGCATCCTGCGGACAGGGGGAGACTTGGTTGCAAAGAATGCAGAGGAATGGGCGACGAAGGGCGGAGCGCCGAGCGGAGGGGTCGCCTCGCTCGAAGGAAACGCGAGCTGTTGGTGGACTCTAAAATGGCTGATTTTTTAACATACCATTGGGAATTGACCCTACCTTATAGATATTTTGACGAATTTCGTTAGTATTATGGAGAAAATCTTCACCATTATATGGCGGTGCAGCCTTTCACCGCAAGACATTTACAGTTTGTAAACTGCAGAGCCGGTGGCTAGTTTGCTTGAGGCAAGGCGGATTGGATGCCAAAAGTGGGCAAGCCTGGTCACAAAATACTCCCCAAGTTGTCGAAATTTAGCACCTTGCAGGCGACCGAAGCGCAAAAGATTCGCCTTCCAATGAGTCAAGGCTTGCGTTCTTGCGGATTTCGTGTCCAGAAAACTTGGCATGCACCGATCTGCAGTGTTTTCATTTTGCAATCAAAGCAAGGAAAACATTCGCATTGCGAAGAAAGAATGCTTCGTGTTTGCAGCCGATGAATAACATAGTTTGTGACAGCAAGAGGAAATCCTGCGCAGTGTGCAGAAATTTTTTTTGTGGGCTGTTGGATTTTTCATGTGAATTACTTCTCGGACTCGAACCGAACGTGTGACGCCGCCGCTGGATTGCTCTGCAAACGAGGAATCCATTGGTGGGGTCGGTTCGAGTCCTGTTTCGTGACTCTGGAACGCGTCTAGACTTTTGCCCACCTCCGCCGGTCTTCGGGCCCACTGTGGTGCGGCAGCGAGTGGCAGTCGGTCCCCGGTCGGTCCCCGCAGCGCCGAGGCAGCCCCTCACATTAAAGCTCCCGGCGGACCGCAACTTGGCCGCCCATAATAAGGTGGCACGCTTCAAAGCGGCACGCCGGCACGCCCAGGCGGTCGGTCGGGGCAACTCGAAAGACTCTTCAACTTGGAAGCGCGCGGTGGCCGGCCGGCGACTCGCCCACGCCCCGCTGCCAGACTTGCCAGATAAACAGCCGCGCACCGCAGGAACGCCTCATGAGGGCAACAGAGAAAGAGCACGGGAACGGCTCTTCGGCATATCGCCCGGCAGTCGTTCCTTCGGCCCGCGGCCCGGCACTCATCAACACGAAGGGATGCTTTTAGCGGAACGCCGAGGCCGAGCGGGGAGGCTGCGGGGAGGGTGCGGGGGAGGGGAAAGGCTGGCAGGGGGAAAACCGGCGAGATCGGCAGGTGGATCCGTACATATTTAATCTTGACAGCCGGGTCGGCCCAAAACACCCCCTCCCCTTTCAGAGATGACGGCCGTTGTTCTTCTGCCTGGAAGGCGGGCGGGGAGCCGAGCCCGGCCGAGCCTAGCCCCGCCAGCCGGTCGAGGACGCCCCCGAAGGGTCGTTGTTGCCGATATTGCCGCCAGCTGTGCGCCGCGCGACATTTCGGGACAAGCCTCCGAAGATGACACCGACACCGAGGAAAGGCGGGCGGGCAGTTAGAAATTGTTTCTGGTGGGGCGGGTGAGGATCACCAGGCCCCGGCCAGGCCCTGAAGAAAGATAGCTCAGAAAGAGGCACATCGAACGCCACGAAACCACGCTCGCCAAAGGCAGTACCTAGGGCACATTTTCCGGGAGGGGGGGGGCAAAGCTGGGGCGAACAAGAAAGGACCGATGGACGAGTTGGCCGTCCTCGGGGACGCGAGCCCACAGTTCCCTTTCACTCCTCCCCCCTCTCTCTCTCTCTCTCTCTCTCGCTCCCCCCCCCTCTCTCTCACACGCATACACGTGCGGACAACCTTCAGTCGCCATACGCAAACACAAGAGGGACCCGAACCATCTTGCCTTCGCTAATGCAACGAGGAAGAGTGGCCCTCTTACACTTTTCCAAGAAAAAAGGAGCACCCGCTGAGACGAAAAAAGAGAGGAAAGAAGAAGGGATCAATGAGATCAGGTACAATCTTTCGGATACGAGGCCACATTTCGTAGGTACGTGGCACTGCCGTTTCGTTACGTCTGAAAGTCGATCAACATTCGCACGGTTGTGACATCAGTGACATCGTCATCGTTTTCAAACGAACGCACGATAAAATTCAGAAACTAGAGATTTGAGGTCACCGTCGAACAGCATTGTGGTGGGACGCAGAGTACGGGCGGTGCACTCTAAATGTCTCACGGCGAAAGGCCGAAACTGAAGATTTTCTCAATAACACAAACAAAATTCGACAAATTATCTACACAGTACAGTGAGTTCTCAATGGGATGTTATAAAGAAAGTCAGCTGCACCACCATAAAAAAGAGAACTTTCATCATAACATTGAGAATCTTCACTTACAGATTTGAGAGTGTCGCGGTGGAGGCCATGTAAGGCCAAATCTTCTTAAGGCCCAACCGCGCCGCCCCGGTGTTGGAGGTGGAGATCAAAACCAAAGCGTGGATCAGAGGGGAGGACACCCCCCTCCTGACCCCTTGACACCGGAAAGGTAGAGGGAAAGGTGCTGCTTTGTACCCCCCTTCACCAATTCGGCTAGCTCCGCCAAGGCCCGAACCTGGGTCGCTACTCGGCGCCGCGATGTCAGCATTCGCGACACACAGCGAACCGTCTGAAGCATCTGGTGTCACACTGCCCCCCCCCCCCCCCCCCCCCCGCACGGAAAACAGTTGGCAAGCGAGGCGGGCTACATATTTCATGCGTGCCGCGCCGCCACCCCCATCCCTCCCCGACTCTGACTCACAGGGCAAAGGCCCCCGAAGCCCGCACAGCGCGGCACACACAGCCTCCACGTGGACAGGGCCGGCAATATCGGCTGTTTGCGAAGAATACGCAGTGCACTGCTCGGCCTCTTTTTCGTTGCAGTCCGGCGCTAGCAGCGTTGTTTGGCCAGCACTGTCGCACAGTGGGCCAGAAGACCAGCGCCGGCGGCCAAAACTGTAGACGCGTTTTGAGCTCCACAGTCGCTTACCAGGACTTGAACCGAACGTGTCACCCCACCAATGGATTGCTCTCCGAACGGAAAATCTATTGGTGGGATCACACGCTCCGTTCCAGTCGTCCCATCCAGCGACTCTGGAGCTCAAAACGCATCTACTGCGCCGGTCTTCTGGCTCACTGTGCAGCCTGTTTGGCCGGCACTGTTGGCCCTTCGTGTGTGATGATGCACTGTATGCTCCGGGCAGCTCCGCTCATCCCTTTGGGTTGCTAGACCCTGCTAGTCCCTGCTGGTCCTGCTAGCCCCTCCCCCACATCCCCGGCCCGGCCTCGACCACCGCGGCCCCCGCCGCCCCCGCCGCCGCACACGTAGCACGGCCAGCGGGGCTTTTCGTCCCCGGCCGTCCCTTGTGAATGGCACTGCTTGCGATGCCCGGATCCTCGTTTAATGACCACTGCCTTCCAATCCGCAGGGATTGGGTGGCAAAGCTTTCCTCCCCTTTCCCCGACCGCGGCGGGGTGGGGGCGCCCTGGGAGCCACCCGAGAGCAAGCTCGCGGTCGGCCGAGCCCCGGCCGGGTGGCCGCCGTGCCGCCGCCGTCCCGCGCCGACAATGGCACGACCGCTGGGACGCGCGGGGCAGCCCCAGGCCCAGGCAGCCCCGGGCAGCCTCCAGTGCAGGGCTAATGCTCGAAGCCAAGGGCGCCAAGGGCCGAACAACCACCGTCCGAGTTTTCGGCGCGGTCGCTGCGAGTCTAAAAGGATCCAAGGGTACACACTACACTCTAAATGTTGTACAGTGAAGATTCTCCATATTTTGGTGAAAATGTTCCATATCATGGTGGTGCAGCTGACTTCGTAACATACCATTGAGAATTCACTGTACCTTATAGATATTTTGACGAATTTCTTTGGTACCTACGCCACTTGCTGAAATAAAACTTTTAATTGGCACTGCCGGGCGTCGTTGGTGCCACCTGCACCTGCACCGCCTGGCCCCGCCCCACCCCGTCCCGCCCCGCCCTGGCCACAGCGACCGGGCAGGACTGCGTCTGGTTCGCGAGCTCCAAGCTCCTCCGACACAGCTAACCGAGTATTCCCCAACACGTCTTGCCCCTTCCCACTCTCCAGGCAGCCCCACCACTGTAGTCCCAGTCCCTGGTCGTCCATGTCCGTGGCGTCCCTGGGGATCAGCCAACAGGGACACCTCAGTGCCGTGGTAATATCCCTGAATCTGCACGGACCTGCGCGGTCGCCGGCAAGGTTCCCGGGTTCTAATCTCAGCGGCGGGCTGCTTCAAAAGGAGTACAAAGACGCGTCTTTCCGGCGAGGTGGGGCGGCGCGGCGCGGGGCGGGCCAGCCTGGCCGCATGCCGTCCTCTATGAAGCCGCGTGCCGCGGCCGCTGGACCTTGCCAGGGCGGGCATGGCTGTGTGGAGCCATTGTTGATCCTCTGCCAGGCCCTCCTTTGACGTCCGCTCCGCGCAGTCCACGCCTACGCCCTGTGTGCCTGGCCTGGCTGGACCGGCTGGCCCGGCTGGCCCGGCTGAGCCACTGTCGGGGACACCGAGGGACACTGTCCGACGACATGCGTCGTTTCTGTACCCACAAGAACCAATCTTGGTCGAGGCCTGGTTGGTCCACCTCGAAGACGTTAACTCGTTCAGGGCGGGTTGACTTCGGGATCGTAAGCATAGTGACACGCGGGTTTGATATCACATCGAGCTAAGGTCAGGTTCCCGGTCCACAAGTCTGACCCATCGAGCAAGATAGTGAAATGGGAGACAACAAACCGATTCAGTGCCCTGACGCCGGGCGCCTGCTGACGACAGGATAGGCAGGCCCGCCATGCTGGCACGCATCGGACGGCTGCGATTGCCTACCTGCCAGGCGCTTTCGTCTTCAGGGGCAACTTTCGGACACCAGGAACTGTCTCGGATTGATCGCAAAAGGGACACTGACAATAGAAAGGTAGGACCTTTGACCCTTAAAAGGGTGATTCTGACATGTGTGACCAAAAAAGGATCATACTGAAATGTAAGACAGGAAGACGGTCATACTTCGATGTATGATCGAAA